TATGGGATTCGGGCGAGTTGGGAAAATTGGTAGGGCAAGGGGTACTCACTCTGCTCCACAAAAAGGGAGATAAAATGAACATCAAGAACTACCGACCCATCACACTCTTGACGGTCGTATACAAGATGCTATCAAAGTCTCTGGCCAACCGAATGATAGAAATAATGGAAGACATCATTCACCCGGCACAGACCGGCTTTATGCGTAATCGGAACATTCAAGAAAACATACTCTTGATCAATGAGGTGATTAGCTTGGCACATCAGTCCAAAAGTAATGCCGCTCTCATCTTCATTGATTTTGAAAAAGCCTATGACCACGTGGATTGGCTATTTCTAGACAGATGCCTGGATCGTCCAAATTTTGGAATCAGCTTTCGACGGTGGGTACGCATCTTACATCAGAACGCTACTACGAACGTTCAGATCAACGGGTCGCTAGCCCCAGTGATAAGGTTACAACGTTCAGTACGACAAGGGGATCCCATCGCCCCCTTCCTATTTATTATTATCATGGAAGCGCTAGCTTCCAACCTCCGTCATAGCAAGGACATAAAGAGAATTCGGATCTCCGGCATCCCTGAGGAAGCGGTTCCGATCTGCCCGTTGTTCGCAGACGATCTCACAATTTTGGCAGATGCCACGCCTCATAATATGGAGGCAATTCATAGACTAATGGATCTTTTTGGCACCCTTTCTGACATGGCCATCAATTGGGGACAGAAAACAATAGGATGGTGGCTCCATCATCAAGGGGGCCGCTCGCCGGAGGGGCACCAGGTCTCCTGGGCAGACCTGGAAACCCCCATTCGAATCTTGGGAGTCAAGATGACAGCTTTAGGCAACCCCCCCGAGAACGATGGATGGTTACCAAGCCCTGCATTTGCTAAACTCTCGCAATGGAACCACCAGCACACATCCCTCTTCAGACGAGCCTTGATTATCAACAATGTAGTGTTAGCCACCCTGTGGTACAAATCGGTCCTTTGGGCGTTGAGCCCAGTCGCCCAGAAAGCCCTGAAGAGGAAGGTGGCAGCCTACTTATGGAGAGGAGACAGCGAAAATCCCCACGCGATAAGCAGAGTGGCGTGAGACTCAGTTATACAACCTAAGGCAAAGGGCAACCTGGGTATTCTAGACCCTCTTAGCCAATCCCAAGCCCTCAGTCTACAATGGGTGTTACGTCTGATCTTTGACGATCCTTCAGTGTGGAGGCTGCTCGCTCTATAACAAATTGCACGTCTTGCCCCTGAGGCCCCCCCTACCATCCACCCTCTCCAATGGTTAGATGACCGCTATTGGAGGATTCCACGGTGCCCCCGGGGAAGGGAAGGGCGAAGGGACGACTTCTGGCCCCGCCTGTTAAAAATTTGGAGGAAGCTTCTCCCCCCTAATCGACCACCTCCCGTGAGATGGGAAGAAGTGGCAAGACAACCCCTCTTCGGGAATCGTTGGATCACCAACGAACAGAGCCAGATTTTTTGCAGCTCTGACTCCCCATGGAAAGGATGGGTGAAGAATGGGGTGACAAAAGTAGGCGACCTCTGGGACGAAGAAAAGAAGGACTGGAAGAGCCCGAAGAGGATGAGGGAGGAACTAAGATATTGCCATAATGTAGAGACTGCACTTGAAGAAATAACGGAGGCCCTCCCGGTGGGCTGGTGGCCCATCCTGCGCAAAGGAAGGGTGCTGATGGAGGGGGACTGGGTGGCCCAGGAAGGGAGGGGGAACAAGGTCGGCCTTATCCACATGATCCAATCGAAGGAGGTGCTGATCAAATGGTATAGCGAAGAAAGGAATGGACGACTGACAGGAAGCAACAATCCCTTCCAATGGGTCCAAAATGATAGATTACACAGAATTCGGGTGCTAGAGGTCTGGGGGAACAGGCGGGCATTCTTTTCTGAGATAGCTATAGAGGCCCTCCCCATTGACCCTTTGGAATGGGTGTGGAACCCTGATCCACGACTCAATCTAAGGCATCCCAAACCCAAAACCTTGCCCGGCCTCACTGTCAAAACAGCGTACAACATGCTAAGAGTTAAACGTTGTTTAAAGGACACAGTGGTCGATCGTTGGCAAAGGCACCTCAACATAGAGCGACACCTTCTTACACCCATCAGATGGTTTCGGGATATTAAATGTAAACCTGCGAAAATCACATCATTGCAGTGGCAGATCCTGCATCGGTGCCTCCCCACCAACAATTGGTTGATAGATCACTCGCAGTTAGAACAGCAGGGCCGAGCGCTCCCTTGGTGTGACCGATGCCAGCCGGGCTTCCCGGGTAAAAAGAGAGCAGAAACAATAGAGCATATTTTTCTACAATGCCCTGCTGCTGTTCTTACTTGGAGGTGGTGGGATAGGGTGTGGCAACAGATAGTCCCCGGGCAACCATGGCCGTGGGATTGGCGGGCCATCTTATTGGGACATTACCCACCCTTCCTAGATGACATCTTCGTACTAAATATGTTCCACCTGGCCCGATGAACGATTTTGTGGATCCTGTGGTGGCAACGATGCGCACCGACTTTAGATCACGTAAGGGTAGAGGGCGAAGAAAGGATGAAACATCTCAAAGAGCGTTTTCAACTGGAGCTCTTACACAGATGGAAAACACTGAAGCAAACATTAGACAGCCTCCATAGAGTCACTGACATCCGAGAACGGCTTCTACAACTCTCTAGGGAGTGGTTGGGTGGGGATCGGGAGGGCTGGGTAGCAGAAATACGCTGGTCAGGACCTTGGGAGGGAGAGTGGGGGGGAGGAGGGCGTCCCCCGAGAGCAGGTCCCTAGAGACTATCGAATGACATTTAAGGATTGGCTGACAGTGGACCCCAGTTGCCCTATGCGACCTGCGGAAGAGTTCCCAGACCCGTTCCCTCCCCACCCATATGCGTTGGAAATATGCCATAGCTGACCAACAAGCCCCGGAAGTCCCGTTTTTCCCTGCAGTCTTCTTCTGTTCTGGCTAGTCTGCTTGTCTGTGTCTCAGCCTGTCTCCACCCGGGTCCCCTTTTCTCATCCTGTTTTCCTTTTCCCTGCTCTGGCTAGTCTGCCTTGTCTGCGTTTTTGCCTGATTTGGCTGCAGTCAAGTTTGGCAGCATGGGGGTTGGTCAGAAAAGAAGATCGAGGGGCAGTACACAGTAGGTGACATTAGGTGATAGGTAAGGAGGGTGGCTCTCCCGCCTTCTAGCCAGGGCATAGTCGGTGTCTCAGTCATTTCAGTCATTTTGGATTTCATTCAAGATTCATTCAAGATTCAAGTTGCAGTCCTGTTTCAGTCCTGTTTCCATTTTGCTTCCATTAAGCTGCCAGTGGGGTGACTGATGGAGGACAGTGTCGAAGGGCGGGAAAGGCCGGCAGGAATAACCACTGGTGCCCCCCAGCAGCTCCTCCCGTTACCATGACCAGGCACAGGGTTGGAAAGGGAGAAGAGGACCACCCCTCAGTCAAGTGTCAATTGTCTGTGGGGTTGGATTTTCCACGGCTTGGGTCGTATGCACACCTGCTCAGTCAATCCTCTGACTTCCAGAGTAATCAATGCTGGCAGGCACCTTCAAGACACCATCCCATTCTCCTTCCCAGCATCATTCTGTATCAATCTGTATCAAAAAAACGGTAGGGGGTGGGAGGAGCTGGAATACAGTTGCAGGTATCTGGCGCCGGTTTCTCGCTGAAGAGGTTTCCCCCCCTCAGTACCTCCTGCTCAGTCAATCCCCTGGATGCCAGGGCAATCAATGCTGGCAGGATCTGTCCCAAATTTGTGTTGATAATTCTCAACTTTATCATATTCATAAGGGACGCTGGACCCGTTTTCCAGCAGGTGCTGCTCCCCACCAATAGATGGAGCCTATCCCTAGGGGCTAACGGCGTTTGCATCAGCGTCGTTAGCACTGATGGGCTTGTTTCTTCCAAAAAAAAAAAAAAAAAAAAGAACTCTTTCGGCGCTCCCCTCCTCAACAGCTTTGTGCTCTTAGACTAACCCTGCGCCACCATTTATTTATTCCAAAAAAAAAAAAAAAAAAAAAAAAAAAAAAAAAAAGAGAGATAAGGCCTGTTGGTGTGTGCTTACCATTTTTGTGTCAGACACCATGTGACTCTTCCCTGTCCTTCACTGTTCTTTGTTGCCAGTGTCTTGTCATGACATGTGGCAGATGTAACATTTTTTATTATTATTATAAGAAAACTGGAATATGTTCTTCTCTCAAATTCTTTTTGCCTTTCACTACCTTTCTATCACTACTCCTAAGACTATATAGAGGGGACCCCTGCAAGCATAGGGCCTTGCAAAAGAGGTAAATCATGTTGCCCCCCGCCCCAACAGCGGTAGTCAGAGATGGGGCAGATGGGGTGGGGCTGCCAGCGGGGGTCTGGCTAACGCAAAGACACAGCATTTTGCCAGTAGCTGCGCCTCCCTTTCTCATCCTTCCCCACCCGTCATCGAGTAGCAGCGGAGGGCAACACTCTCCCACACACCAGACACAACCCACTCATGCTCGCACTCACACCCGTGTTGGTCATAGACCCGGCTGATACCGATCATGGGTATCAAGAGGACTATGACACTCAGTTGGCACTAAGTGCACCGCAGGCAGTCATGGGGCTTGAACCCACAGCCTCCTGAATGCCACTTGCGTGCCTGACCGAGCTAGCAGATGTAACATTTGCTCTGTAATGAATTTTAATCGTAAAACAAAAATAAAAATAAAAATAAAATAATATTTAAAAAAAACGCGGGGAGCTCACAGCAAAATTGGCTCCACGGTTCGTCGGGCATCCCTCAACATTCGGAATCTTTTCGAAGGATACACACAAAATTGGCTCAACAGCGCGCGGCGCCCACTTCTGTACTGCTTGCGAAGAAAGCGCTGCGGGTTGAAGGGATGGAGCAGGGCGAATGACTGTCCACCGGCTCACCTCCGAACGTTGTAGCGTGTCGTCTGAGTGTGCTCTGTCTGTTCTTGTCTACCCGTGTAGTCTGAGTGATAGTAGCGGGTGCTCCGTCTCCCACTCTCTGTCTGTTCTGTCTACCTGCCTGTCTGTCTGTCTGTCTGTGTGTCCCGGTGTCGATTCTTTGTCGCTCTCGGTCTGTGTTTGTGTGTGTACTGTTCTGCCCTGTTCTTTGAGAAATGAAGGCTCGGGAAGATGGAGAACAGAGACGAGAGTCGTGGGGAGGAGCCGGCCCGTTGCGGTTTTTGGCAGGCCGGCCGCTGGCCGTTGCATGCAGCTTGGCATTGCTCGCTGCCTTGGTGTACTCCCGACCCGACCTAATCGTGACATCGCGGTTCTCTTTCGCGTCTTCGCTGCGCGGCAGAGTGCGGGAAGACCAAAATGCGGCCTCCAGATCATGGCCGCCCATCCCGCCGCCACTGTCAGCTTACGACGACGACGATGCCCTCCCCAAGAAGCTCCAGCGGGAGGGGGATATCATCCTCACGTGGGCGCCCCAACCGTCGGGAGAGCATCGTTACGACGGCCAGGAGGTGATTGACAGCGCGCCGAGCCCTCGCGGTCCTGGGAGCGACGATGATCAGGACTTGCCGGATGCAACCCCCCCTAGTAGTTCGTCGAATCTGCGGCTTGGCGTCTTTCCTACGGGCGGCGCTGACTCTTCGGTTACTAATGCGACCGGTGATGATCTGACAAGAGAAAGGGGAGTGGACCAGGGGAGGAAGAAGAAGGAGAGGGACCCGCCGGTTGGTGGTCATGCAGCCAGCAAACGGTTCAGCACTGGCCATGTCCGCAATGTGTCCCACCCCCACCGTCGACCTGTGCACAAACGCGCATCCGTAGCAGCGGGATCCCGACAACCACAGCCTAATAACTCGTCTCGAGCAGGTGTGTAATGCATGTGCCTTCCATCATCGGTCGGATTGGTCCGCCCGTGAAGTTGATGATGGTGCGTTGATGGATCTATTTGTTGTTGTTGTTGTTGTTGTTGTTGTTGTTGTTGTTGTTGTTGTTGTTGTTGTTTCGTTGTTGTTTCGTTTTTGTTGTTGTTGTTGTTGTTGTTGTTGTTTCGTCTTTTTTGTTGCTCTTCCCTGCCACACAATATCTGTCAAGATTCATCAATGCAGATTCTGATAACAAAAAAATGAGATAGCAGATTCTGTTAATCTTGTTGTTGTTGTTGTTGTTGTTGTTGTTGTTGTTGTTGTTTCGTTTTTTTTGTTGCTGTTGCCTGCCACACAATATCTGTCAAGATTCATCAATGCAGATTCTGATACCAAAAAATGAGATAGCAGATTCTGTCAATCTTGTCAGATATTGTGTGGCAGGGATTAAGCCACAGAGATCAAACGGTTCAAAAATCGCAATTCATCTGAACCACAACCATCAGCACGTGAATTTGATGATGGTGCATTGATAGATCTCTTTCTTTTTTTTTTTTTTTTTCCTTTTTTTTTGGTTGCTCTTCCCCGCCACACACACTCTGTCAAGATTCATCAATGCAGATTCTGATAACAAAAAATGAGATAGCAGATTCTGTTAATCTTGTCAGATATATTGTGTGGCAGGGATTAAACCACAGAGATCGAACCGTTCAATAATCGCAATTCATCTGAACCACAACCACCAGCATCTCATTGTTATCAGAATCTGCATCTCCCTGGAAGTGAGTGGTGGCCATTCGTTTAAATGCCCCAGGCGTTCTGCTCGGGGGAAGAAGATAGAAAAAAGCAATGCTGCGATGACTATCACGCCACACGCTCTAACAAGCACAGTCCATTCTCACGCTGTGCGCTGTATAGTTAATGGAAAATGTTATACAGTAAATCCTCCCCCGGGACAAAACGTGTGTACTCGTGTACGCCTGGACCGTGGCAAAAGGCCCGACAGGCCCCCGAAAGATGGTGACGAAAGTAGTTAATCATCCCTCGGTCTGGTCTGCTCTGCCATTCCCCCAACCGTATCATGTCCGATTCCTACCCCCAAGCTGAAAAGATGCTATGCATGTTTGGGATCCCCCCCCCCCAGACAAAACGACCGCAGAGAAAATAGAGAGCAAAGAGAGAGAGAGAGAGAGAGAGAGAGAGAGAGAGAGAGAGAGAGAGAGAGAGAGAGAGAGAGAGAGAGAGAGAGAGGGCCACGGTCCAGTACTCTCGAAATGTGCGAAACGAGAGTGAATCTTCCGCGAGAACATGGAAAAATACTCAGACATGATTTCTGTCGCTTGTGCATGTGGAGAGTAGTGGAGTGATGCACTTAGCCTCGAGAATGACGGTTGAGAGGAACGGCATACGAAGCAACGGAGAGAGGAGGAGAGAGAGCAGGGAAGGAGGACAAGGAGGGAGAGAGAGAGGGAGGGAGGGAGGGAGGAGGGAAGGGGAGGGGCCAAAGAAGGAACAGAATGAGCGATAGAGGAGGAGGGGGGGGGAGGGATTTTAGGGGCATTGATAGGCAAAAGAGTCGACTGTCACTCGCTTTTCGGTAGGCGGAGGAAATAGCTAGCTTGGAGTTGATCCAAGCCAAGTGCTGCGCCAAGCCAAGTGCTGCGCAAGCCAGACCGCGCCTATGAGCCTCCCGAAAAGTGGCCGTCAACGTTTTTGCCGGTGAATCCCTCCAAAATTCCCCCATCGCGCATTCTGTTCCTCCTATCCTTGTCCCCTCCTCCCTCCCTCCCTCCCTCCCTCCCTCCTTGTCCTCCTTCCCGGTTCTCTCTCCTCTTATAGGGGGATTTTAGAGCAATTGATCGGCAAGGAAGTTGGAGGGTGTACCCGAGAGCCTAGCTCAGTGGGTACACCCATGAATTGTTGAATTACAGACCCCAGGGGCTAGGTCCCACTTACACGAATTATGCGATATTGACCGTGGATAGCAGAGATCAACGGCCAGAATCTCTTAATCCGTGCAAGTGGGACCTTGCCCCAGTTCGAATCCAGATGATGGTACATGATGGATGATGAGTAAAACCAGATATTTCTGAATTGCCTGCCTGGGCCTGCTCAGCTCAATGATGATATGTTAAGGCCGTCGCCCTTTTTTTTTTTTTTTATTACAACATGAAGAAATACAAAAGTTGATGGTCAGTTTTCGGGAGGTGGAGGAAATAGCTTGGTCTTGAGCCAATTATCCGCCGTTGGGCGCTCTCCTCCTCCCTCCCTACTTCCCTCCCTCCCTCTCTCCCTCCTTGTCCTCCTTCCCTGCTCTCTCCTCTCCTATATGCGAATTTTAGAGGGATTGATCGGCAAAAACGTTGACGGCCACTTTTCGGGAGGCGGAGGAAATATCTAGCTTGGATTTGAGCCAATCCAAGGACGTCTGCACAAGCCAGACAGCGCCAGGCCCTATCACTGACACGACCCCACACTTTCCCGCCGCCGCAAAATCCGTCCTCTGTGATTGCATTGGCGCGCGAGTGAATTTCAGTCTTGTCGAAGCTGACGTGGTAGGGTTCCCCCCACGTGCCGCGTTCAGGAAGCGAGCTTATTCGCCCCGATTGTTCTAATTGTGCTCGTGCTACTGTACCTTGAATGCTGACCCTCCACGTGTTCTTTTTCTCTTGTTCTGTTTTTTTCGCCCCGGGCGGGCAATCAAGAAGAACGGATCATTCTTCTCTCTGTTCTTTTTCCCTTGTTCTGTTTTTTTTTTTTTTTTTTTTTTTTTTTTTTATCAGATCGTGACGACGAAAAAATGGACCAATTTTGTCATCCTTGCGCAGGGGCCGTTTGCCAATGTACCCTTCTCTGTATCGTTCCAATTTTAACGGATGTCGCGAAGGACAACGAATCATTCTGTTTTTTTTTTTTTTTTGGAAAGTTTCAATATGTATTGCATAAAAGATTGGGACGGTCCTTCGGGACATCCGTTAAAATTGGAACGATACAGAGAAGATTAGCATGGCCCCTGCGCAAGGATGACACGCATAAAATGAGAAATGGTCCAAAAAAAAAAAAAAAAAAAAAAAAAGATTGGGACGAGGCCGGGGACCTCACATTTCGACCCTGAGTTATCCTGGCAGCCT